AACCACGACACTTGTACTATGGGCCTGGGCAATCTGAGGCAGGAAAGGGGATCCCCTCGGCTGTGTAGAGCCAAGCCTATGGTGCTTTGGTTCTTCAGTACTGATGGAGAACAAATATGACCAGCACATTAATCATCATTCTGATTTCCACTCCATACCTGTTAGGTGCTAATTGTCTACTGGGACTATTTAGTACTGAGAACTAAAGCTAAGGTGGATGCTTCCAAGGGGAGATCTTGGAGTATAAAGACACAGTTGTACAATTCTACATCTTCAAATAAAAATTCACAGCAGTCTCTGAATACTATTTTTTTATGAGTTTTCTACTCACACTTCCTTTATATCTCAGTCCAGTTGCTTACAAATATAAGAGAGTACCTTTTGCTATTTAAAAGCATGATGTGTTGCTAAAATTCATGGATTCTGTGATTTTGCTGCTTCACTGACTTCATGTTAAGCAGGTGCAATATTAAATTAAATAATCTTAACATGGTATTTTGGTTCAATTACCTGCTAGTGATTTTCTTCAAATACCTACCAAAATATCTTTGCAGGTAGTACTCAAAACAGAAATTGAGATTGCAGAATTTTTAGGTATGATATTAAGTCTTCTATGCCTGAGAAGTGCACAGTTGAAGTGCTGGTGTGGCTACAGTCATACACTGACACACCATGAGATATTCCTGTATGTGTATGTATGTACACACAGAGAGAGACCTCAGTGTATGTGCCATACAATGAACAGTGAAACCTTTCCATTTCTCCTACAGATGACAATGATTAAAATGTCAACTGCCCCATTCACACTGGAAGTATGATCAGAATGCTAGAGTGAATGGGCAGGAAAAACATATATGGAAATTTACCTTACAATTTGTATTATAAAGGCTGGAGGCAGGCACCACAACAAAAATGCAGGAGTTCCCAGTATGGACTCGTCTCCAGCTCGTACTAATGGTTCGTGTAATGGATGGCCAACATGTTCAGTTTTCTTTTTTTTGTGTCAGGATTAACTGAGGTTTTCATCCCCTTCCACTGTCACTTTGTTTTCCTCCAAATGTTGGCCTCCACAAACTACATAAAAAAAAAATGTAAATAAAGTGAATACTTTAAAAAATGTAGGATTTTTATGTGATAAGAGTCTTATTTCTTGCTGTACGCTGTTGTCCGTTGAAATTAAGTGGGTGCAATCTGAATTACCTAAATAGAGGCAGTTTGCCTTTGAAGTAGCTACTATGGAAAGATTTTCAAAAGTGTTCAGGGATAGTTTTACATAGGCACATTCAGTACAAGAGTAAAACTCCCACTGATTTCAGTGCCCTGCCACCACAGAAACATGCAGTACACGCCCTGATAGATGAAATGACACTGGATTTCAAAACATGACCTAAGTGAGAATTTACCTAGTAATTTCTTGGTGTACTGAGGTATAACTTAAACAGTATACTTCCAAATGGACTGAAATAAAGAAGGCGGTTCATATAGAAGTATTTCAGTTTGTTACTAAAATAATAATGTTCTATGCCTTTAGTTACAGTAGTTAAAATAATCCACAGTGATAAGAACTATCAAGAATTATCATATTAGCTTATTAACATGATAGTCCAATTAATCTTGCAAAGAAACAAAGATTACCAGACAAATATTTAACAGTGACATCTAATTATTTTGGAGAAAAGCACGCATCCTTCTGTTCACAGGCTTACAATCTCATCTTGTCCCCTAATGCCTTGTGAAAGAAAGATACATATCAAGCAAGAATTGGGCTGCTGAAATTATTAAATGGAACAAGACTCATTTCATTATACTTGAGGTTTACCAGATCATATTAGTTAACACCTGCTAAACAAAAAGTATGAAGCACAATCTAGAGAATGCAACACTGATTCCATGCGTATTTAACTGAGAATCCAGGGTCTCCATGAATTTTACATTAATTAGCTGGAACATTTAATGAACAAACTCTTCATTATGCTCTAATCAAAACAAGGTCTGAGAGCTTAAGGAAAAACCCCAGCGAGCATCCATCTGCTGATGTATCATTTCTGACCTAACTTTTTTCCCTCCAGGATTCTGGTTTGTTAATAAATCATCCTAGCAAAATATTTAGGTAAAGAGGGGCTATTTCTCCTTGCCACTTTCCTCCTAAACTTTGACAGATTTAGCAGAATATAATCCTTGTCTGTATAAATGTTTTTGCTATGTTCTTAATACTTTCTTACGAAAGTACACTACATTTTCCAAGCAAGATCAACTTCCCCAGGATCGGTTAGTCGGACTTCTACTTGTGCTGGGTCTTTAAGTCCTTTCTTAAATACAGGACATAATTTCCCTTCAAAAAGGGGCTCAGCAATATTCATTGTGCTCACAGTTTCAGGAACTTGGACAATATCGAGAATGAAACAAGACAGATGGAACTCCAAATGGCTCAGTAGCAGGAAATTTAACTGAGGGATTTCACCTCTGTGTGGGTGATGAGGAAGACATACCTCAGGAGGTACTTCATCCCTGCCCCACAGGCATTTCTTATCCTCTTTGTTTAATGGGCTACTTCCTGCTAAGTAGCAAACACATGAAAATTCAGTGCAGCCTCCTGGGTCTTTAGATCTTGTCTTATAGGTTTCCGAGCTTTGAGGTGTTTTTAGATGGATCAAGGAAAAGTGAGCTCTGATTCCTACACTGTTTCCATATTGGTGCTTTAGTCTGCCGACAAGTGATTCTGGCTTTAAGTATAGGTGCAGTCTCAGAGTAATATGCACTTATACAGCACATCTCATCCAGCAGTTCTGCAGAACCTACAAACACCCAGGTTCAGAACACTAGCTGAACCGAGGAAGTTGAACTGCCTCACAAGTCATCTGCTCTGGTTGACATTTGATGTTAACTGCAAGGAGCGTATTGTTCTGAATCTACATCTGTGCTGTACTGACCACCCAGTATGTATAGCCAAGTCATTAGAAGCCCCAGTAGATCAGCAGAACATCAGATTTCTGATTTGTAGTCTAACAATAGCCTATCTCAGAGGCTACAAGAGCTGCTCCTGATATTCAGGTTCATGAATATACATATCAGAAGACATGGAATCATTGTGGCTTTATTTAAATGGAATTGATCCCTTGGTAAATATACAGTGAAAATCTGCTTTAAGCTGCCTTGGAAAAGACAAGAGGGAGGAAAAAAAAGAAAAAAAAAATCAATCACCTAAGAGAGGTGGCCTTTAACAAGAAGTCTAATGAAAATTGTATGGGAAAGCCATGGGGATAAAGTACTCTAAAGTCGTTGATTAGAGTAAAGCAGGGTGTAAAAGCAAAAGGGCTGACAACCGTTCCACCTTGCACCATGATCTTATCAGCTCTCAGAAGACTTAGACGAAAAGCCTCAGGAAGACATATAGTCAAGTTTTAAAAGGAGTTCACAAAAAGTTTAAGACACGCATTTTTCTCAGGTGCAGTTTAGCTTTGCAAATATTTTGGTGATTGTACAACCTGAGCTTTGGGCATATGTTTTATTGCAGGCCTTGGGGAGTGAAAGAAAGGGAAAAGTGGCACCATCTGGTTACGGTTTCCTGTTTTCTGATTCTCATTTGTGTAAGCCCTTTCTGGTAGCAAGCATTTGGTTATTTCCACATCTGTGCTGCCCCTGACCTCCCCAGTGGTACCTGAAGTAAGAAATAAGAGCAATGATTCGTAAGCTGCAACTCAGGCCTGTGCGTCAATGCCAAGCAATAAACACATGAGCTGTAGACAGCAAGGAAAGGGAAAACACTTCCAGACTGGATTTGTGCCTTTTCAACGCCACTGTCATCAACAGCTTCTCCAAATAGATCCCAGCACCTCAGCATGTCGTTATACTGAAGAGTGCCAGATGGGACCTGCAATCTTATTACACTTCAGGTGCTATTACTTCAGGTGAAGCAATTAATATGTGTCAAGCTAAATGACTCTGTCTTTGGATCAACTGTTACACTGCCCTCCACAAAATCTTCAAAGGCCAAGGAGGTTGATGTTGTATGGAGCTAACCAAAGGCAGCAATTTGTCCAGTGCCCTTTTACCTCTTCGGCAAACCAAAGAGCAATAAGGGTTCACCCTGGTTTATGAAATTGCTCTGGGTTTGTCTAGAGCCTTGTCTAGAAAATCTTTTCAATGAACGTCTCGTACTTCTCAGTGAAAAGGGGGAATCATGCAACCAGGGCTGCATTCTGCCCAGCTCTCACATTCTGCTCAAAGCACGCAGTAATTGCCAGCCAAGCCACCCTCGGTAGCCACCCAGGACTAACTCAGACCACTCCACCACACCTTCTCAGCCTACACATAACACAATCATTCTTTCTCCTAATTGCTCTTTACTCCAGGTCACACGCCAGGGAATCTCTGCCAATACATGCTATCAGCTATCCTAGTTAGAGGGGAGTTTTCCACCGCTTCATTCTCCAGATAACAGACTTCCAAACATGCAAGTATTGAAACAAGCAGAATGCTACAACTATATATCTGGCAGGCACTCTCAGACAAATTCAATAGTGCTGCAAGCTGATGTATATTCAATTCTGGCATATCAATCACTTCAAATTCCAGTATGATTATCAAAAAACTGTATTTGCCTATAATATAAACCACTGTTTTTTCCACTCCAATTACCTTATGGAAATTTTTAGCGCAGGTAATATACAGTATTAATAAATCCTCTCTAACATGGCAATAGAAAGATTGATTTTTCTCTCTTTGTCCCTTTCTTTGTGTCAGGAAAACCTCACACATTTCAACTTTCTTAAGAACAAAGCACAGAAAAATATTGTTTCATACACATCTTCTGCAAACACCTTCTGACATATTAGACCAGTTTGAGCTCATATCACATAATAATCAATTACATTAAACAGTCTACTGCAAATTCCTTGCCAATAAAATACAAAGTCATTTTCAGTTTCTGATATGCCATCTCTTCAGTTACGCACAACAAATAGTACTTTCGCGCAAGCCATAACAGTTTCTGCCTTTACCTGTGAAAAAGTGTCTTGCGTTCTTGTATTATCCATGTCTCTGAAAATTCTGTTTGTTTCATCAGTATCCCATAGGGTTGCAAACTATAGTTTATTCATGAATCACACCTGCTTTTCCACAGCACAGTTCTCGTTCTTTCTCTCTGCTTCTCTCTCTCTTATGAAATCTTGCAGCCAATGGCTTTTATTAAGTGTTACTTCCTATTATACTGAGAACTGAAAGAAACAATAATGATGCTTTGCTTCCTTATGGCAGCTCTCTGAAAAGACAAAAAAAAAGTAGAAGCTGTTTGTTTGCTTTTCCTGAACTGATATTTATGTTCTAGTGACTTCCTGAAATCACTGAGCCATGAATGCTGAAATTATTTGTTACTGTACATTGGATCTATCTGAACACCCAACATGCTAGTTACCAAAACAAATTTCGTACTAAATGTAACGAAGTTTGCCTGAAGAATTACAAATACAATGCTCAATTTTCACAGCAATATTTTTATGCACAGCAGCGATCTTTAACATATGTCTTCAAACTCCAGCATGAATATGTGCATATTGGATGAAAGCACAAAGGCACCCGCAGGTTGATGTACACGATTCCTCTAAAGATAAACAGCATTTTAAACTTTGCCTTTGCTATCAGTATTGGAGGAGAGAGTCTAGTGATTAGAAGAGGGAATTAACAGTAAGGCATTGCTGAAATCTAACCCCGGCTCTGACAAAAATTGTTCAACATCAACAGAGAAAATATACCTCCATTTCCCCACCTATATATTGTGACTTCTATTATGACAGAGAAACATATCAAAACTAATTAGGAGATTAAAATTTCTGAACAGACATGGCTGGAAGGTGGTCTCTTCATATTTTGAAATTTCTTCTCCTCCAGGTAGAGGCAAATGGGAAAATCAAAAGCCATTAAGTATCTCCTGCAAAGTAATTTTTTTTTTTAAAGAGTGACAGGAATTGAAACATTTTGGTTTGATGATGGGTCTCCTTCCTCTACTAGCCTAGAAGCAATTTTCTAATAGAAGCAACCCAGGGAGAGGAGGTTGAGTTCAGTGCAGAAGTGTCAATGGACCTCGCTGGGCACAAGGGCAGGGCTCCCTGGCCCAGACCCAAGTACCCATGCATATAAATCCCACCTGCTCTTTCAGCTGACGTAGTTATGGACCTTTTGCTGAGGAGCTCAGCTGATTTATCTGCCAGAGCTCAGCCAAAAAACAGCACTGCAAAAGTAAGAGGCAAGTGCAGGCAGTCTGAATTCGGGCTGGAAGCCAGAGACAAGCTGAGGAGAGCAACATGGTGCAGAGCTGGCCAAGCCATTCACCTTGTAGGCAGGTCTTCAACATGCCAGAAACAGATCTGAAACTTGTGCCTAAGAGCAGGCTCTGACAGCCGTACAGGACTCAGTATCTTCACAGTCAAGGGCCTTTAAGCTCATACTTGCTAGACACTGCAGGTGGACCCAAGAAAGACCATAACAGCAAATGTGTGGGAGGGAAAGTATTAGGAATGAATTCTCCCAAGATTACTTAAGGCAATACAAATTAAAAGGAAGGTCAATAAATCTAATATAAACAGGTTTTAATCACTTGAACTGCTTAAAAAATAAGTCCTGTTCTTTGAAAGAATGTTAGCTTAACAAAGACTAATAATGTAACAGGGCCTGACTGAGTCCAGATCTTCTAAAGAAATATTTAATAAAAGATTGTCTTTCTTTCAATGCTCTCAATTCTGATTATTTCATGTCCAGCATGACAGGATGGAAATTTTTCACTAAACTGGAAAATCATTGGAAACATGTTTCTTTGAGAGGTATCTTAAGTAATTTGGTTAAAATGAAATAGCAACTAATTCACTCAGAATTGAATTTCTAGTATTGGCCTGTTCCCCCTTAGAGTCCTCAGCCCTTGAGGAACTCTGATTTTCTTTTTAAATTAAAGAATCCAAAGGAACTTCTTTTTAGAATGTGATCGTAACACCACAGAACATTTTTGAATGGGAAAATTACAGGTTTCTTCTATAGAGGTTCTGCAGAGATACTAGATGGTCTTT